ACAACCCCATCACTAACAACCCCATCACTAACAACCCCATCACTAACAACACTGACAACCCCATCACTAACAACACTGACAACCCCATCACTAACAACCCCATCACTAACAACCCCATCACTAACAACCCCATCACTGACAACCCCATCACTAACAACCCCATCACTAACAACCCCATCACTAACAACCCCATCACTAACAACCCCATCACTAACAACCCCATCACTAACAACCCCATCACTGACAACCCCATCACTAACAACCCCATCACTAACAACACTGACAACCCCATCACTAACAACCCCATGACTGACAACCCCATCACTAACAACCCCATCACTAACAACCCCATCACTAACAACACTGACAACCCCATCACTAACAACACTGACAACCCCATCACTAACAACCCCATCACTAACAACCCCATCACTAACAACCCCATCACTGACAACCCCATCACTAACAACCCCATCACTAACAACCCCATCACTAACAACCCCATCACTAACAACCCCATCACTAACAACCCCATCACTAACAACCCCATCACTAACAACACTGACAACCCCATCACTAACAACCCCATGACTGACAACCCCATCACTAACAACCCCATGACTGACAACCCCATGACTGACAACCCCATGACTGACAACCCCATCACTAACAACACTGACAACCCCATCACTGACAACCCCATCACTAACAACCCCATCACTAACAACCCCATCACTGACAACCCCATCACTAACAACCCCATCACTAACAACCCCATCACTAACAACCCCATCACTGACAACCCCATCACTAACAACCCCATCACTAACAACACTGACAACCCCATCACTAACAACCCCATGACTGACAACCCCATCACTAACAACCCCATGACTGACAACCCCATTACTGACAACCCCATGACTGACAACCCCATGACTGACAACCCCATCACTAACAACACTGACAACCCCATCACTAACAACCCCATGACTGACAACCCCATTACTGACAACCCCATGACTGACAACCCCATGACTAACAACCCCATCACTAACAACACTGACAACCCCATCACTAACAACCCCATGACTGACAACCCCATTACTGACAACCCCATGACTGACAACCCCATGACTAACAACCCCATCACTAACAACACTGACAACCCCATCACTAACAACACTGACAACCCCATCACTAACAACCCCATCACTGACAACCCCATCACTAACAACACTGACAACCCCATGACTGACAACCCCATCACTGACAACCCCATCACTACAACCCCATCACTGACAACCCCATCACTACAACCCCATCACTGACAACCCCATCACTAACAACCCCATCACTAACAACCCCACCCCTGACAACCCCATCACTAACAACCCCACCCCTGACAACCCCATCACTAACAACACTGACAACCCCATCACTAACAACCCCATCACTGACAACCCCATCACTAACAACCCCACCCCTGACAACCCCATCACTAACAACCCCACCCCTGACAACCCCATCACTAACAACACTGACAACCCCATCACTAACAACCCCATCACTGACAACCCCATCACTGACAACCCCACCCCTGACAACCCCATCACTAACAACACTGACAACCCCATCACTAACAACCCCATCACTGACAACCCCATCACTGACAACCCCATCACTAACAACCCCATCACTAACAACCCCATCACTGACAACCCCATCACTAACAACCCCATCACTAACAACACTGACAACCCCATCACTAACAACACTGACAACCCCATCACTAACAACACTGACAACCCCATCACTAACAACCCCATCACTGACAACCCCATCACTACAACCCCATCACTAACAACCCCATCACTAACAACCCCATCACTAACAACCCCATCACTGACAACCCCATCACTAACAACCCCATCACTAACAACCCCATCACTGACAACCCCATCACTAACAACCCCATCACTAACAACCCCATCACTGACAACCCCATCACTAACAACCCCATCACTGACAACCCCATCACTAACAACCCCATCACTGACAACCCCATCACTAACAACCCCATCACTAACAACCCCATCACTAACAACCCCATCACTGACAACCCCATCACTAACAACCCCATCACTAACAACCCCATGACTGACAACCCCATCACTAACAACCCCATCACTGACAACCCCATCACTAACAACCCCATCACTAACAACCCCATCACTAACAACCCCACCCCTGACAACCCCATCACTAACAACCCCATCACTGACAACCCCATCACTAACAACCCCACCCCTGACAACCCCATCACTAACAACCCCATCACTGACAACCCCATCACTAACAACCCCACCCCTGACAACCCCAGCATGTATGATGATGACCGTCTTCAATCACCCATCAATCTAACTTGCCATTTAAATTTTCATGAGCACAGAAATCCTGCAAGCGTGTTTTCAAGCCGCCTTTATTCTCTCGGCTTACAATAACCACATCAGATATTAATGACATGTTCGGCATTACGTTAATGGAAGCGACATTTTCATTAATGTCCATTCATCTGTTCAGATTTTGTTATGCTATCAATGATTATACGTTTTTAATCTGGCGCTATACTGAAACAACTTGACATCAGATGACATACGGTGCATTAACTGGAACTTCTAGATGTCAAGACCTTGCAATAGATGTTGCCAGATGAAGATACTTGGAAAGGTACACAGAAAAACGCTCAACGCAAAAAATGCGCGCAAAAATTTGTAATTGAAAATTGCTAATACAGAAAAATACTTACACGGGAAAATGCGCCATGTATTTTACAAAATTTCTTTAGTTTGTATGTGTTCGTTGTATTTTTCTCTGCGTACATGTTTATTTGCATTTTTATGTGTTCGTACTTTTTGCGCATTTTTCTGTATTTGCAATGCTTTTTAGCGCTTTGGTGCACTATTTCCATTGCGCATTTTATAGCTGCAGATTTTTGTGAAGACAACTAACCATCCGACCACCGTCTAACTTCCTAGTACATTAAGTCTTGGTCCGTTACAGAACAGCCGCTTGACGTTACCTCAACACCTCAGCTGTTTTATACAAAAAAAACTTAACCACAATACAAATGAATTTTTAATTTCAGTCGCATATTTTGAACAATGCCAAGTTTTATGTCAAAACTAGCGATAATTTAAGCGATACGTAGCCAGTCGTTTTATAAATTAGAGCACCAAACTTGCTTGAATGCTGGTGGGAATCGAAATTAAAATTAATTTCACGAAACAGTGGACGCGGTAATTTGTCTTCTGTTCCGCAAAAAAAAACTTGCCCCATAGGACCCACATAGTAAAGACACTTTACGTATATGACCCACACACAATAAACTTGCTCTATAGGACCCACACACAATAAACTTGCTCTATAAGACCCACACACTAAAGAAACCTGACATATAGGACCCCCCACACACACAATAAACTTGCTTTATAGGACCCACACAGCAATGAAGCCTGCCATATAGAACCCACACAATAAACGAGCTATAGGACCCACACACTAAAGAAACCTGACATATATGACCCACACACAAAAAAAACCTATCCAATGGGACCCACACTCACACAAACTTACCCTATAGGACCCACACACTAAAGAAACCTACCCTATAAGACCCCCACACACACACAAAAACTTACCCTATAGGACCCCCCCACACACACACACAAAAACTTACCCTATAGGACCCACACACACACAAACTTACCCTATAGGACCCACAGAGTACCGAAGCCTGCCATATAGAACCCACACAATAAAGAAACGAGCTATAGGACCCACACAGTAAAGAAACCTGACATATAGGACCCCCCCCCCCCCACACACACAATAATACTTACCCTATAGGAGCCACACAGTACCGAAGCCTGCCCAAGCTTACCAGAAACTTTGAAAATGAAGTGGCTTAACCCTTGCACCCCCATACATATACGTCACTCTTTGATTACTCTGGGCATCGATTGAACCCTTTTGTTGCCGAGATTAAAGACGGAATATATCGGTGTAAAAAATCTTGGTGTGTTCTTTGTTCGGTGCTGTCGTAGAAATGTGTTATCACATTGTCCTCATCACACACACCAGGGACTCTCAAAGATTTTACCATCAGACCAGGGACTCTCAAAGATTTTACCATCACACACACCAGGGACTCTCAAAGATTTTATCATCAGACCAGGGACTCTCAAAGATTTTACCATCAGACCAGGGACTCTCAAAGATTTTACCATCAGACCAGGGACTCTCAAAGATTCTACTTGACCCCGTACAACCCCCATCATAGAAGTTCATACTTTAGCTAGACATACAACCTAAACGAATATTTAACCCCTACAGTCCTTATCGCCCTACTAGCTCTATCGTTGCTTCAATACACAAAAACATTTAAATATATTCGTTAAAGACTTGAATGGAAATTTGAACAAGGGTCTTTGTATGGTAATGGGTACCATTGATATTCATACCAGTGTTAGCCCTTAAATAATGTACATTTGATTTGATTTGAATGCGGGTAGACTGTCTAACACGTTTTTTAGTAATCTGTTAGCTGTTCAAATAAGTAATGATGTGGTGTGTGAATTGGTGCAAGGTTTTAGTAGGTGCTGGTGCTACATAACATTATGTATCTTGAAGTGTGTGAATTGTTGCAATTTTAACTGGGTGCTACATAACATTATATGTCATGATAAGTGATGTGGTGTGTGAATTTGTGCTAGTGTAACACACCATAGTGTCGTGAGTTATATGCTTCTGAGATTATTGGACTGGCATGGACACATCTGGTGTAAAAGTCAACAAAGACAGAGTCTAATTGTCATCAAATGACCTGACCTGACTTGACTTATTCCTTGACTTATTCCTTGACTTATTCCTTGACTTATTCCTTGACTTATTCCTTGACTTATTCATTGACTTATCCCTTGACTTATTCATTGACTTATTCATTGACTTATCCCTTGACTTATCCCTTGACTTATCCCTTGACTTATTCCTTGACTTATTCCTTGACTTATTCCTTGACTTATCCCTTGACTTATCCCTTGACTTATTCCTTGACTTATCCCTTGACTTATCCCTTGACTTATCCCTTGACTTATTCCTTGACTTATTCCTTGACTTATTCCTTGACTTATTCCTTGACTTATTCCTTGACTTATTCCTTGACTTATTCCTTGACTTATTCCTTGACTTATTCCTTGACTTATTCCTTGACTTATTCCTTGACTTATTCCTTGACTTATTCCTTGACTTATTCCTTGACTTATTCCTTGACTTATTCCTTGACTTATTCCTTGACCTATTCCTTGACCTATTCCTTGACCTATTTGTTGACCTATTCCTTGACCTATTCCTTGACCTATTCCTTGACTTATTCCTTGACTTATTCCTTGACTTATTCCTTGACTTATTCCTTGACTTATTCCTTGACTTATTCCTTGAATTATTCCTTGACTTATTCCTTGACTTATTCCTTGACTTATTCCTTGACTTATTCCTTGACTTATTCCTTGACTTATCCCTTGACTTATTCCTTGACTTATCCCTTGACTTATCCCTTGACTTATTCCTTGACTTATCCCGTTGACTTATCCCTTGACTTATCCCTTGACTTATCCCTTGACTTATCCCTTGACTTATCCCTTGACTTATCCCTTGACTTATCCCTTGACTTATTCCTTGACTTATTCCTTGACTTATTCCTTGACTTATTCCTTGACTTATCCCTTGACTTATCCCTTGACTTATCCCTTGACTTATTCCTTGACTTATTCCTTGACTTATCCCTTGACTTATCCCTTGACTTATTCCTTGACTTATTCCTTGACTTATCCCTTGACTTATTCCTTGACTTATTCCTTGACTTATTCCTTGACTTATTCCTTGACTTATCCCTTGACTTATTCCTTGACTTATTCCTTGACTTATCCCTTGACTTATTCCTTGACTTATCCCTTGACTTATTCCTTGACTTATTCCTTGACTTATCCCTTGACTTATTCCTTGACTTATCCCTTGACTTATTCATTGACTTATCCCTTGACTTATTCATTGACTTATCCCTTGACTTATTCATTGACTTATTCCTTGACTTATTCCTTGACTTATCCCTTGACTTATCCCTTGACTTATTCCTTGACTTATTCCTTGACTTATTCCTTGACTTATCCCTTGACTTATTCCTTGACTTATTCCTTGACTTATCCCTTGACTTATTCATTGACTTATCCCTTGACTTATTCATTGACTTATTCCTTGACTTATTCCTTGACTTATCCCTTGACTTATCCCTTGACTTATTCCTTGACTTATTCCTTGACTTATCCCTTGACTTATTCCTTGACTTATTCCTGTACTGCCCCTGTAGAACAAAAGTCTACAGCCACACCTTTCCACCTGACTCTGTTTTGAGCGGCTCTCTTTATTTGCACCCACGTAACATTCGAACTATCAGATGAGGTACAAAATAGTCATTAGATGACATAAGCAAAGTAAAAGTGTCATTAGATGACATCATGACTATTTGCTTCCACAGACATTATAAGTATCGTGCTACAGTGAAACACAGACACATGACCTAGTTCACTTTCACTACAACATTCGTAAGACAGACAGACAGACATTTAAGTGAGTTCACTTTTCACTCACTACAACATCACTCAAACTAAGTCACCTGTCCTAGTTCACTATTCACTAACTACAACATCACTCAAAGAAAATCACCGGGCCGAGTTCACTATGTACCCAAGAATTAGTTAAACAGGTCGAAAACAATTTCCCATGTTTTGACAAAGCTGTCTTGTCCCTCTAATCCTCACCTGTCGTGTCCCTCTAATCCTCACCTGTCGTGTCCCTCTAATCCTCACCTGTCGTGTCCCTCTAATCCTCACCTGTCGTGTCCCTCTAATCCTCACCTGTCGTGTCTCGATAATCCTCACCTGTCCTGTCAAAAGATGTCTTAGTGTCACAACTTACGCTGAATGCCAATGTCATGCCCACCACACGACAGTAGAAAAAAAACCTACATTTCACCAATCAATCAAATAAAAATCCAATCGATTCACAAATTGTTAAAAAATAAAAATCCCCTGATTAAGTAAAAAAATCATTCTAATTGACAATGACTGATAACAAAGTAGTCAATAAAAAAATTAAGCCTGCCGAAGTTTCTTGACATATCGATTTGAATAAATTCCCTCAAAACTCTTGACTGTGATTCGCAGTGAACGAGCAATTTCATAATTCCTTGCAAACAGCAGAAAAAAGGATTTTTGTTTTTTACAAAAAGATCAGAAAAATGCGAGGATACCGAGGGCAAATTGTTTTTTTTTTTGTATGCACTGGAAGATTTGTCTAGGGTTATGTTTCAAATGAGGGGTGGGTGGGGGAGTTAGGTTTAAGATGAGGAGTGGGAGGAGGGGGGGGTTACGTTGAATATCAGGAGTGGCGGTACAGGGCTCGGTGGGGTAACCATTTTCTGAATATATTTATTTGAAAATTTAACGAAGGTTCATTTTTTTGACGTATCATTACGCCTTTTCTAGGTAACACTTATGGACACAATTTGAGAATGCTCCACTTCAGAGGGGTGCCAGCATGGGATCTGTAGGGGTCGTCCAATTTAGCAGGGGTGTCAGCATGGAATCTGTAGGGGTCGTCCAATTTAGCAGGGGTGTCAGCATGGAATCTGTAGGGGTCGTCCAATTTAGCAGGGGAGTCAGCATGGAATCTGTAGGGGTCGTCCAATTTAGCAGGGGTGTCAGTATGGAATATGTAGGGGTCGTCCAATTTAGCAGGGGTGTCAGCATGGGATCTGTAGGGGTCGTCCAATTTAGCAGGGGTGTCAGCACGGCTTCGACCGGGCCAGCCCACTTGCTCACCCACAAGAAGTACTTGACTGTCCCCGAGCTATTTTTGTCACTCACTCGCTGGGTTTTTTTTCACTCATTTCCTCGAGTCTCAAGGTCAAGTGTATCTGCTGAAGGTCACACCATGTCTTTGGATGCTTGGACAACGTTTACTTTTTTCATCTCTTGAGTCTTAAGGTCATCGGTCAAGGTCATAGGATGACTCTAGAAAATCAAGTTTCAGCCGCCTTGAGAAATTGGATCTTTGGGGTGTTTTATTGTGCAATATATCGACCTCAAATATTTTGTCTGGAATATTTATCCCGAGGGTATTTTAACAGACATTTTGTTTTCTTTTAAAATATTTTTTAAAATTCTCTCTTTTAGAAATGTGCCTGGGACAAATTGTCCGAAATTTGTTCTTAGATATTTGTGATGAGCAGCATTGCTTCCCCTATTTTCCCTTCAGCAAATTTGTCTAGAATTACTAATTAGCCCGAATTATTCTAATTTTTTCCTTTCCGAAATAGGTGTGGAAAAACCTAAATTTGCTGAAGAAATTTGTCATGAACAAACTTACCTAATTTTGCTTAAGAAATGTGCCTACGTTAAATTGTTCTGAGATATATCGCCATACAACCTCCCCCCACCCCCGCACATTTCACACATACCCTCAAGTATGTTGCTATAATGTTTTGAGCATCCGCACATGTAAAAGGTGTGGAGACACAGCTGTGTCGGGATATCTTCGGAACATAGCAGAGGCGTAGCGACCCTTCCCGGAGCCCGGGGACAAACTTTTTTATTTGCAACCCCCCCCCCCGAGATTTCGATTTGCACCCCCCCCCCTCAAACTTTTGATTTGCACCCCCCTCAACCTTTCAATTTATTTTTCCAACCCATTTTGGCGCCCCCTAAGGGGCGCCCGGGGACATATGCCCCCCCCCCCTCGCTACGCTACTGGAACATAGTGTCACTCCAAAGACACATCAGACAATCGGAACATAGAGTCACTCGAAAGACACATAAGACAATGGGAACATAGAGTCAGTCTAACGACACATAAGACAATCGGAACATAGAGTCACTCCAAAGACACATCAGACAATCGGAACATAGAGTCACTCGAAAGACACATAAGACAATGGGAACATAGAGTCACTCTAACGACACATCAGACAATCGGAACATAGAGTCACCCTAAAGACACATCAGACAATCGGAACATAGAGTCACTCCAAAGACACATCAGACAATCGGAACATAGAGTCACTCTAAAGACACATCAGACAATCGGAACATAGAGTCACTCTTAAGACACATCAGACAATCGGAACATAGAGTCACTCTTAAGACACATCAGACAATCGGAACATAGACTCACTCTAAAGATATTCCAATCAGACAATGGGAACATAGTGTCACTCTAAAGACATATTTGTATCAGCCAAAATCCCGTTGTACAAAGCTTTGTTGACTGTCCAAAATTAGAATTGATCAGAACATTTCCCGGGATGTTTATTTTAATGCGGCAAACAGAATCAAACACATCTTACACCTCTGATGTCTTAGAAACATAGTATTTAATCCTAGTCTTCGGGAACACAACTGATATAACTCGCATACACCTCTCATATATCCCTGATATATAACTCAAAACACCTCTAATACACCAATGATACACCTCTAAAACACCTCTGACATAAATCTAATACACCTCTTATACACCCATGATATAGAACTCTAAAACACCTCTAATACACCTCAGGTTGATACGATTTCTTTTGCACAAAAACAAAGACAATAGACCACAAAGACAATGGACCACAGAGACACAATGGACCACAAAGACAATGAACCACAGAGATATAATGGACCAAGAGACACCCTTATTGTTTTAAGACATAAAACAAAAGCCCCACCCACACTCATCTTGCAAACAAATGTCACACGCCCACCTAATACATACGAGCCAATATTTTTTGCCCTAAGAGAAAATAATGTCTTGATTGAGCTGATAACCTCCCATTTACAAATTGCTATTTTAAAACCCGACGTTTTTGTCGAGTTAAAAACAATCGCCGTTCGCCTAGATCGATGGAGTAAATAATGTTTTCAACGTCGATTTTTTTTGTTATTTCATAAAGAACATTGTACATAGAATTTATTTTTTAAAATATTAATAAAGTTGTAATTTCATACAATAAATTATTTATAGCCTTTATGTTTTCCATAATTTATTTAAACAAACAAGTATTCCTAACTTCTCATTTAAAAACTAATATTATGTTCACCAATTTGAAAAAAAAAAAGTTATATTTACTAACCTTAGCACTGAAGTACTGCTCTAAATCGCTTATTGTCCTTTATAATCTCAGGGCGAATTTCAGCGGAAATAAAACAAAACGTGTACGTGTCCACACCGTTTTCCGGCGCTCACTTGAAGCAGACTACAAGCAGACGAACATCACCATAACACCCGGCTGCGCGCGCATGCTGTTTGCGCAGCTGGGCATCCCATCGAGATCCGCGCGAGCAGCCATCTTGGCCCACGCCTCTCCTTGCTTACACAGCTCTCTAGCAAAAATTCTCAACGAGTAATTAGGCCGGATAGAATTATGCCGTTTACGTAATTTACCTCGTTAAAAATGCGCGTTCTAATTATGAAATTTCAAAGTTTGAAAGCTGGATTTTGTTTTTAGCCATGTTATTTTTGTTGCTTTTCAAAGAAGAATTAAAGGAGTAGCCGCAGAATTTGTGATGTATTTGTAGTGTAGTTTCTGTCCAATTAGGAGACGGGGGTAGTTTGATCAAAGAACCATCGAGTTTGTCTAGAGGTTTCACTTCTTTGTATGTTATTGTACCTGTGTGCCGCGTCAATAACACAGACAGCAAGTTTAGTAACCGAATACTTTGTATCCGATAATTTGAAATATAACATCGATAAACATCATCATCAAAATGTTGTAGGCCTACTTGAAAAGTTGTGTAAAAACTGATTTACAGTTCAAATTGAGCTTGACTGATGTGACTTGAATGTTGGTTTAGACAAATGTGACTTCTATAATGACTTAGGGAAATGTGAGTTTCCCTACCGACTCGTACCTCAAAACAAGATCACAACTATAATAAAAACTTGATTTGTTTTTACAATATTTGTAGCATATTTGCTAACTTTGAGCTGTAAGGTTTTACTCAATTCAAATAGTGAAATGGCAGTCGAATATTTCCATTAAAAGCTTGCGAATGCTATGTAGAATGTATAAACTAAAACACGATTTTTAATATGACTGGTAAATGAATAGTAAAAAGCTTTCCTTGTACCCGCCATATTGAATATATTCATCACGTGGTACAAGTATCGAAATCTAAGAGGCCGTAAGCTTTTCATTTTTAGGGTGGCTTGTCTTGTCTTCTCGTACTAACCTCAACAGTGTGATGCTACCGAAGCATAAGGCTTTTCAGGGACGAAATAAATTTATTATACACGCGAATATTTACAGCTACAACATACAGTAAAATAAACATAAAGCTGCAAGATCAGAGTTTCTTCCAGGTATCTCTTCGGGGGGGGGGGGGGGGGCAAAGCCCCCCCGAAACATTTTTACCGCTCCCCCCCCCCCCCCCCGAACGAAATGAAATTTATATAATTTATATAGAAAATATATACTTTTAACAGTGTCCGCCCCCCCCCCCCCCGAAGAAAGTTTACCCCCCCCCCCCCCCGAAAACTTCAAGTGCCCCCCCCCCCCGGAGAAAAAAGTCTAGAAGAAACACTGTGCAAGATAAAAAAACAAAATACAACCTGCAATGTGAAATACACCACATACGACACAAGACAAACGACCGACGACATACGACAGACGACATACGACAGACGACATACGACAGACGACATACGACAGACGACAGACGAAAGACGACATACGACATACGACATACGACAGACGACCGACGACAGACGACAGACGACAGACGACAGACGACAGACGACAGACGACAGACGACAGACGACATACGACATACGACATACGACAGACGACCGACGACAGACGACAGACGACAGACGACAGACGAAAGACGACATACGACATACGACATACGACATACGACAGACGACCGACGACAGACGACAGACGACATACGACAGACGACATACGACAGACGACAGACGACGCGTTTTTGTTGTACCCCGTCATAATTGTTGCCACACACCTGTAGATACTGTAGCGTTATTTGGCTTCATGGACATACAATGATTGTCCACCCATTGATTGACCACCCAATGATTGACCCACCCACCCAATGATTGTCCACCCAATGATTGTCCACCCAATGATTGACCACGCAATGATTGTCCACCCAATGATTGTCCACCCAATGATTGTCCACCCAATGATTGTCCACCCAATGATTGACCAACCCACCCCATGACTGTCCACCCAATGATTGTCCACCCAATGATTGACCCATCCACCCAATGATTGTCCACCCAATGATTGACCCACCCACCCAATGATTGTCCACCCAATGATTGACCACCCAATGATTGACCACCCAATGATTGACCACCCAATGATTGTCCACCCAATGATTGTCCACCCTATGATTGACCACCCAATGATTGTCCACCCAATGATTGTCCACCCAATGATTGTCCACCCAATGATTGTCCACCCAATGATTGACCAACCCACCCCATGACTGTCCACCCAATGATTGTCCACCCAATGATTGACCCACCCACCCAATGATTGTCCACCCAATGATTGACCACCCAATGATTGACCACCCAATGATTGACCACCCAATGATTGTCCACCCAATGATTGTCCACCCTATGATTGACCACCCAATGATTGACCACCCAATGATTGTCCACCCAATGATTGTCCACCCTATGATTGACCTACCCACCCAATGATTGTCTACCCAATGATTGTCCACCCAATGATTGTCCACCCAATGATTGTCCACTTGACCACCCAATGATTGTCCACCCAATGATTGTCCACCCTATGATTGACCTACCCACCCAATGATTGTCCACCCAATGATTGACCAACCCACCCAATGATTGTCCACCCAATGATTGTCCACC